TTTATTTATTTCAGAATGTATTTCATAACCTTATTTATTTATTTCATAGGCATGAAGCTCTGAAGATAAAAGTGACTGCAGAGCCTTATTCAGCTCAAAATGTTATTAAACTTCAGCGAGTTTGAGAGGACTTTTGCATTGAAAATAAACGGGCAGATGATGTGAACCTTCAACAAACTGTGGAGGAGCTCGCTGTGTGCATTGGTTACAACACACACACTGTCAAGTTTATAGCTGGAGCGTCAACATTGTGTGTGTGCACCTCATGTTGTGTATTCGGCAGCACTGCAGTGTTGTTTGCTGATACATGATTTCTGTTGTCGGATTTGGTGTTGGTTTATGGGAAAGTGTCATGTTATGTTATGTATTTTGTGTATCTTAGTACTGTGTATTACACCTGCCATTGTGGCCATCATATTGTAGACTGTTTGTCTGAGTTAAATCTAATTTCTGGTTTAGGATTATTCTATTAAAGTTTGTCTAAACTGATGAAGGTTGTTTGACTGGGCCAAGGCTGCAAAGTGCCTTAATATTGTTGGCCTGTGGTGAGATGTGTCTTTGTTAATGCACGTTATTTTGTGGCCTAAATACATTGTTAAAAAAGCCTATCATAAAAAGGCATCATAATATACAGTTTTATATACTCCCCTTTCATTTTAAATGTCTAAATCAGTTTTCTTGACAATTTTACATTCAATGGCCTTCTTTAATTTTACATTCATTGTTACACAAGGTTTATAGTTTATTTTTACTCTTGCAAACCCTACCAAGAGTAGCTATTGTTTGTCACTAGATGATTTGCAAATATGTTGCATATTGTAAATCTGCTATAAAGGCTCAGTGTGTAGAGACATCCCTATGGCTAATATCGTCAGCGTTTTTATGTAGTTATAGGTTTAATTGATGTATGTATAATGTCTCTTCCTCATGACATAATAGCCTTCTGTTAAAAAACAACAGTAGCAGGTTACAGAGCAGTGCTCCCACAATTCTCCATGCAGCAGCACATTAAGCCCATATCCCCACAAGCCATACCCACTATTTAACCATATAATTACCTCACAGCATCATTTCCTACTGCAGTTGTGTAATAAGCATTCACCCATGAATACGCCTCGCACCACTTCTCCTTAATTAACACCCTCAAATAGCAAATAAATTGATGTGTGTGGACCAACGCTTCCCCTGTTGCTTTTCTGTCTTTGGCAGGAAGACTGGGGGTTGCTCTCACAGCCTTTCCTACTAACAAAACGTGTCCTTATTGTTAGATTTATAAGGTGTCATTTCAACTAATTTCGCATTTATATATTCAAGAATTTTCTATAATTGCTGTGCATAGCAATAAACAACTTTAGAAATAGTTTTTTATGGCCTCGTATCGCTCATGAATTCTGCTTTCCAGCTGTCTGTGTTTGCCAATCCACCCTGCTTTCATTATTAAACTGTATCTCTTGTGCAACGCTACACATCACCCCTCTTCCTCTCAGTCAGTAGGCCTATCCTTAATTAAGATCTGCAGAATTATTATTTACCAAACTTTGCACTCTTACTCTCTGATGTTTTTCTTAATTAGTACCCATTTTCCATGCTTATCTTATTTACTCGTTTTCACATATTCAGCATCTCCATCCAGTCTCATTATTTTACTCTCACTTTCCTTTATTTAGCATCCCACTGCTCTATCATTTATTCCTCCCTTAACCATTTCCCCTCCTCTGCTTCACTTTTTAATCAACATCCTCAACATATTTACATCCAGGCACACGTTCTGCTCCCATTCTTTTGCTCCATCAATCTTTTTTCCATCACTTGTTTATGACGGCACTGGCAATATTAACATCAGGAGGAATATTATTTCCCATCAACCACCTCCCCTCCTATATTTTTCCATCTGTCTTTTCTTCCGGTCTCTCGTCACCTCCCAATAAAGCCAGCTCTCGCACCTATCCTCCTTAATCAGCATCTTATAAACAACCATAGAATTAATGTCTCGGGACGTAATTATCCCCGCTTTTCCCATCCGCCCCCCCCCCCCCCCCCCCCCCCCCCCCCATCAGCCCAAAATATTTCCATGAACCTGAATGCTGACGTGAGGGCAGTTTGGTTATTGTGTTTTTGCTAGTTTTAACCAAGCAATGTGATATATACTGTAGGTCAAATTCTCTCTATCAAATTCCACATGCAGTTCATTTCTTGAATTTGTCCTCCTTCTAGTCAGCAACCTCTCTCAATTATGTGTCCTCCTATCAGGGGGTGTAGCTAATTGTGACCTATATTTTCATAATCTTTGTGTGTGAGTGAGTTTGAGCGTGTGTGTTTGTGTGTTTTTCTTAAGTACTGTACGCATGTGTCGACTTGTGAATAACATTTTCCAGAGCAATGTTAATCTTCATTCCCTAGATACATCAAAATACAAACCCCATTGGATTTGCTGGGATGGAAACGGTGGAAAAATTGAGAGTAACTGTAGACAAAGCCAAGTGTAAGATGTGACATAACAAAGATGGAACAAAAATAAATCTTTCCTTCAGTTCAGTGCCATACTATCGGGGAAACTGAGGTCAAGCTCTTTGTATTCTTATACATTCTTGTACTCTTTGAGTTTTAATCATTTCTTTCTAACCCTAGAATGAGTTCAGCAAGGAAAGTCTTATACAAGCAAGGATTTAAAAGCGTATTTATTATTTTAAAATTGGACTCCCGTAAGAAAATGTTTGATATTGCTATAGTGAAATGAAAGAATGTATCTAATATCTGTGTGGTTAATGTGTACCAGGAAGCTCTTGAGCCTAGTTTAGCAGAAATACCTTGAAAAGGAGGAAACGGCTGATAAATGGTCACATAATTCCTGGTTAATCCCATGCTTTGTGGGTCTGTTTTTTGCGCCAAATCCTATTATGTAATGCTCACTGAGAGACAAAAAAACATAAATACTCTACTCAGACTTTCAAGTCGTCAGAGTAGTGACTGATGTGGATGACCTGAGCCTTGCTTTAGAGGTGCTACTAAGCATATTGGGTTACCTTTGCCCAGAGGCCACTTACCGGTCTTCAGTTTAAAGTTTACCACACAGACATAAGCGTCGTGTCCATCTTCTCATTTTACTCCCAGCATGAAAGAAAATATAGTATAATTCCAAAGTGTCAAACTCTGCCTTTGAGGCCAACACTATAATAACAACATCCTTTAGAAGTGATGTTTGGTAATAAAAGGCAACCCTCTACTTTATGTGCAGGAATTTCAAAATAATCTCCTGAGAGCTGCTCTTCGAAGTAAATGTAATGTGATACTATAGTACGGGGGGGGGGGGGGGGGGGGGTGGGGGGGGGGGTGGGGGGGGTAGTTCAAGTTCAGTAAATAATCTGCTGTTGATTGTCAGAGGAATGACCTCAAAAGAGCTGCTCCATGAAATGAAACCGTTAACAGCTAGCTCAATAAGGGGTTTTCTTCTGGCTGGGGTTGTTGGTGGGATTGACGATGGCAATTGATGACCTTAATATTTCAAAAATTCTCACTATAGTCCGGAATTAGTTGCTTGACATGCACACTGACAGCCTGTGTGCATGAGTCGGATTAGAGACTAAAAGACTATGTGCGCTTTAAGTCTTGATAATGCATGTGACACACTCTCCAACCACTGTAGCTCCTGTTTTTGTTAATGAGGTGTTCACTTCAGAGGTAAGCTACAACTGAAGCTTTGCAACACAGCCAACAGATCCCGTTATAACACGTTGATCCATCATCTCTGCAGAGTAATTGTTGCTTTATTGCTGCCAGGAAGAGGGCCTGTGCGATCAGTATAAATGTATATTCAATAGTAAAGGCCACAAGCTGGTTAAGGCCAAAAAGAGTTTGGGTCCTGGCATTTAACTTAGTGCCACTTTGCCAAGCTGCCTCCATCAAAATCAGGGCCAAATTCAGCCTTTGAGGCCAAATAATCGGTCAGAAACATCCAGTATTTATGCTGCCTGTCTGCGAGTCAAAGAAACATACAGAGTAATAGTTGTAATGGCTATAATATATCAAACACACAGGCACATACACATTCGCAGCAGTACGTTATTGGCTGTTATTGATCCTCAGCGCTTTTTCTTGTCTTTAGGCGGTAAATCCCAGTCTATCTTTTAGTTATACCGGACAACTGAAGAGGTCAATCTCCAGTTCCCCCCATCATTATATCTCCTTCAACCTTGCCCTAAAAAAAGAGCACGTACACACATGCTGTTCCATCATTTACTGCAACGCAAGGCCGAAGTCAATAACCTTAATGTCATGTTGATGGACCAGGTCAATATCCCCGTGTGCTCTCTGTCTGTCTGTTTGACTGTTGTCTCCTTTTCTCCTCATGTTTCTCTTTTTTCTCTTTGTTTTTCTCCTTTGACCGTTTACTATTTACCATTTTGTCATTTTTTCATTGAATTTGTGGAGTGAATTTGTGGAGTGAACATGTGCGGAACCTTAGATGAATTGGTCCTTTGGTACTTACCCGTAATAAAATAGGACTGCTCCTAGTACTATGATGGGTTAAATGCAGAGGTCAATGTCACTGTGTGTGCTGTGTGCATGTATGTGTGACAATTAAAGAGGGTGTCATCCTCCGATTCTATCCATAAGACTTCTACCTGTAGGGGCTCCCAGACTCTTTGTTTTGCTACCTTCAGCTCTGGTTATGTGTGTGTATGAGTCACACATGAACATCTAGAATTTATGAATGGATTTGTTCTCAACATATGCCAGGACACACACACATAGACACAAACACACACTTGCATATAAATAGACTTTCTATTTCCCACTTCTCCCTCAGAAATGACAGCTTATCATGAGCAGCCCCAAGGTCATTGCCATGACGGAAGAAAACGAATGTTCCCATGGTTACCTCTTTTCATCACAAAAGGACGATTAGCTTGAAAAGCTTGGAGAATTAAGCTCATAATGGATTCCTAAACATTTTTAACATAGTTCATTTGGGTACAGATAAATGTTTTTTTTTTACTCACATGTGTTGGTTTTGAGCAGGCTGTTTGTGTTCCTAAAGTACTGAGGGTTTTCTATCACCGGGATCTTGGTCATGCCGATGATAACAGCATCGGGGCCCATCTCTGAGGATGAGGGAGTGTTACTGCCGTTGGAGACGTGGTGAAGAGGAGAGGCCGAGTCATCATCGTTACTGATCACAGAAGATGGTCCTGAGAGAAAGAGAGTTCAGTTTGGTTATCTTTTTTTCCATGAGGTCCTGCATGTGAGCTAGAACATATACTACACCTAGAAGACATGTTAAAGGACACAAGAGAAGGATTTAGGATGTTAAGATGTTATTAGCAGAGAATGAGGAGATGAGATCATAAAGTGAGGAGATTAGGTTGTTCCTGTTGATCACAATAGACATTCAATAGGAGGATGGTTGTGTTTCACAACATCAGTTTGAGTGTGTTAGTTAAAAAATGAACAGTATTCATATGTTTTTAGTTAAAGGTCCCCTATTATACTGTTTATCATAAATATATTATAGGTCTCAGATATATACAAAACATGTCTCTGAAGTGTTTGGCTCGAAATACCAAACAGATCATTGCAGCATCCCATAATCCCCTCTGTTTCAGCCCTGTTTCAAAAGTGCTGATTCTCTGTCTGTTACTTGAGATGAAAATAAGGAGCCACTCCCCTTTCAAATGAGGGTGCATAACGACTCAACTGAGGGTGCAATGCACCCTTATGCACCCCCGTAGAACCGGGCCTGACTATAGGACAGTAAAAAAAACAAAAAACTGTTTAAAAGGGGAGTGATTAGTAAAATATGCATAAATAGAAAGAAAGAATGCTAACTAGGTAACATAAAATAAGAATAAACAAGTTAAAATGATTTGTTATTGGTTGTGATCATATTCTAAAGATGTTTGGATTATTGAAAAGTATACAGCTCCCTTTCATATGAGTGTTGAGAGCTGTATCCATACATTTATTTTGTGCTCAAAGTGCTCCAGATTGATGCATTTCACTTCAACATTTAAGAAAAAATCTTCTATTTTTTGAATGTAGCTCTCATCCTGCATTAGAGGGTCAAGCCTGTAGAATAGCACTAGTTGCTTTGTCAACAGTGGTTGTTTTCATGTTTGAGTGCTGTTTATTTTTTAGGTCAGGCTCTGCAGCATTTAATGATGAAGTCAAGGTAAGAAAACAATAATAGCACATTTCTACAAAGCTGGAGGGTAACAGAGGAAATCAATGGGTGTCTCAAAAAGACGAATGTCAATAATATAGGCACCTGGAAGAGTAAAAACCCAAGACTGGAAAACAGATAGTCAGTTGTCTTTGTTTTAATACGGCTATTATTTGTTGAAAATATCTCTGGAGAATGGGCCTTTCTAAATCCAAACTCCTTTTTTAGTCTATAGTACATAGGATTTCAAATTCATACTTCATATAACAGACATTTTGTAATGCAATAACAAAGTGACCATATAAATTATTGCTCTGAAAACAGAAGAAGGGCAATGGCATGCGTTAGACGCCTTGAGACCAACCCTTTAACAGAACAATTACTTATTTTGGCAGGAGAACTGAGGTGTTGTTAGTTAGTAATTAAGACCGCGAAAACAATCCAGGAACTCTATTCCATCTTCACAAGTTACAGTACACCTTCATGGCATTGCAGCTAATTGCCTGCGTCTTTGGGTGGAGTGACAAAGCAAACAATATCAGCGCCACATAGCAGCTACATTTGCAAGTGTGTACTGGCACATGTTCATTCTCACTCTCTCCCACATAATGGTTAACACACATATAAACACAAATACTGAAAACATTTTACTGAACACTTTCCAACATAAATGTCTGTGCTCGTTCATCCCTAACATTTACCTTAATACTTACCACCTTTAAGGATAGGTTCACATTTGTGTCTTTGAAATATATCCACATGCCTGTTTGCGTATTTATTACTGCAGTGAGAGTTGCCAAAGAAATGTCATTGTACTTTGTATGATGACAATAAAGATATATTCTAAAAGCATTGACTGGTCTCTGTAATTTAACCGTCCATCAAAATGTGTAAGATGGAGGTTGGGATGGATAGATGGGTCAACAGTTATTAGAGTCTAACACAGGAAACCTCTGTTTGCTTCCTATTTCCTCACGCAATTTCACATATTTTTTCATTTGTAACAGTTTCGTAACCCTCAGACCTCAGATCAGAAAACACAACATTGAGGGCATGGAGAGGATTTGTTGCAAATTACACAACTTTGTATTTGTTCATCTTAAATTGTGTGACTGCTTCTGCCCTGATAGCAAACAAGCCCTCAAGATTACAAAGATATTGCTAAATTGTGGAAATTTGCACAAACTGGATGGTGGAGACATCTACGACTTTTTCACTTTTGTTTGTTTTTTACTGTATCAAAGATCAACCAGGTCTATATTTTTGTCGTTCTGTCATCACAACGTCTTTTGCATTGCAGATGATACAATCACAGGAGTGAGCGCCTCAAATTCTAACAAAATAACTTGATGACGACGACACTCACCGCTTGAAATGTATCTTAATCACTCAAGTACATGGAGGGGTTAGCAAATTACGGCTTTTCAGTTCATTGTCCTACAAGCACTGTTTTAAAAGCTTGTGAGGAGTGATTTTATGTTTCATGGTGCTCACATTTATGCATTCTTCACTGATTTAGGGGGAGTGAAAGAGGGAAACGAGTGTGTATGGGTGTGTGTGTGTCTGTGTTGGTCTCTTTAAGAGCATAATTCGATACTTCCATCCAGTCTTAGTTTTTCAACAGCTCTAACACATGTCAGTCGAAGAAGAATAACACAGCGGCAGGTTTGAGCATGGAGACTCTTCTTTGATTAAAACCTTAATCCTAATTACACAACTACACACGTATACGCGCGAAGGCGATGACGCAAAGTCCTTTTGCAGACCTCTTCAAGACACAAGCATAAGCCTGCAAATATGGTGTTATGAGCTGAGATTGATTTCCCATGAGCACAAATACAGTAGATGTATTCCCTCTCATGTGGTCTGTTGTGCTGAATTATAATATTGGTTGACATCGTTCATTTCCTCCGTCCCTGGACTCATATCAGGCTCTAGTGCTGCTGACAAAGCCTGATTGAGAGGGAGAAACTGATAGTTTGTTTGTGTGTGTGTGTGTGTGTGGGGGGGGGGGTGTTGGTAACTCATGAGGATTGAAAAGGCCTTGAAAGAGAAAAGGAATGAGAGCAATAGCACAATAGTTTGTTTTGTCTGTGTGTGTTGTGCACACCTATACGTGTGGTAAGTGTTTGTGTGCTTGTTTGTTGAGCAGATGTGTTTTCCAGCAGCATCTCTCTGTGTCCAGGATCAGACTAGTATGCTAATGTGTCACTCTGAATGAATGGATACTACAGAGTGATGATGGACGAGCAGAGAATACCAACCAAGTCCCGGGCTGAACTAAAACATGTTCTTGCTCTTTGCTGATTTGCAAATGTTCCACAGACTACTAGTTTTTTATTTGACACGCCTTACAAATTGCTTAGTGAAAAGAAAGACACCTTCTCAAAAACGTCAACTTGTCATACTTTTAACAGAGCCCTATTTATATTGTTGTTTACATTTTTTTTATTTTGTAATTGATTTTTTTACTTATGTTGTATATTTGAAGAAGAAAAATAAAACAGACTTGTTCAAAGATTTGTTATAATGCAAATGTTAAAGATACTTTTGTTGAAATGACTATTATCTTTTAATCAGGCAAATATATTCCTTCAAGTTCTATAAAGAGTTACAAAAAACAGATGTAGATATTGAATTGTTTTATATCTGTTTCATTCAAAACACCAATCCTGCATTATTGTTCCACATTAGACAAGCTGACAGCTGGTAAATACTGTAAGTGTTTTACTTTTTATTTATTTTAATAAAAAAAGGACATCTTTGGTTTCCCTTCAAATTGAGACTATATCATTATTTCTAAATGGGAGACAGCAGTTTTGCAATGTTACAGCTGACAGGCCCAACAAGGGGCTGTCGAAGGAGGACTTGGTTTACACATTCCCCTCACTGGAGAAACTCTGCATTCAAGAAATAAAGCTGTTCGCTTTTGTCTGTTTGCGGTTCTCACTTAGTGGGAATGTTTACCATTCTGAGATTATCTCAACGTAACAAAGGGAAGAAGAAAAACATGGTGCACACAAGAACGCAGGTTATTGTCTGTCAGGTTGTGTGTTTGTGTTGGGAGGGGCTGAAGATCATTAACACAGAGAGGCCTCAGGGTTAGATCGTTATAAATACCATTAAGCTGAGGGGCTACAAGAGCCTGTGTGTGTGTGTGTGTGTGTGTGTGTGTGTGTGTGTGTGTGTGTGTGTGTGTGTGTGTGTGTGTGTGTGTGTGTGTGTGTATATGAGAAAGAGAGGTGGCAGAGGGTCCACAGGGACTGACTTGGTAAAAGGGGGATGAAAAGATGTAGAGCGGGGAGGTGGAGGGGAGACGGACAGGAGAGGTGAAGGTATAAGTGGGGTCAGGTCACGACCCAACACTGTTAATAGACATGGAACCGATGTTTAAACTGGTGGAGACTGGAGCTCCTCGCAGTCTGGCGGGCAGAAGAGCTGGTAAACAGTCAATAAAATACATTGCCTCGCTTACAAAGTTCAGGTCATGACTGAGAGGTGGGTGGCTGTAGGATGAGCGCTGAACATGCCAATCAAGAGGTTGTTTTTAAGTCTATTTGTCTTTTTAAATGACAGGATCAGGCTCTGTGTTGTGATGGTAGATGTTTGAGATGTCATTGTAGTGAAATAAATGTGATTTAAGTTTAGGTGGTTGACTTTAAATTGTGGACTTTTTGGAGAAAGTTGAACATTTTCAAAGAGTACACATGCAAATTTGACCACTAAGGAATTTTGCAACCACATGCTACTTTGTTAATTTGCTCTGTCCTTTTAATGAGCTTTTAATTACGCTGTATCTGTGTTTCAGATCTGTAATTGGTTGGTACAAAGTTACGGCGATAGTAACAATAGTATCAAGTAACGAGGAAAATATCATCTAGGTTTCATGAATCAAGACTTTGCCATTTAAGTATCATGAAAGCATTTTGAGGACAGTCTCTTCTCGTCGATACTTTTTTCAGTATTTATTTTTGGGCATTTTCTTAATGATAGCGAAGCAGAGAGAGACATGAAATGTGGGGAAGGAGG